GCACTCACCATGGCGATACTGATGGCATCCTCGTACTCCTTCGTGAGGACGCTCACCAAGGCAGAGGCCAGGAGCAGCAGGATCAGGGGGTTCTTAAACTGCAAAATGAAAGCAAGCAGGTGGGTCCTTCTCTTGTCTCGCACAGCTCAGCCTAGGCGTCTTACCATTCAGCAGCGTGTGTGACGTAGTTGCTTCACTCATAACCAGGCTTCCAAGCCAACAATCACAGTGACCAGAGGCCTGGGGGAGGAAGACCACTGCCATCCAGTGGTTCTCCTCTGTCTGAAATCTCCTGGCTGCAGCTGCACTGACACTGGTTTCCTGGGGGTCATCCTGGGGGTCATCCTGACCCTGTCCGTGTCAAGACACCGGCTGTGGTCCTGCCTTTGAGGTCTCACCTCTCCACAACAATCTAGGTCAGGACCTGTCCCCTCTGGTGGGATGCCAGCCCTAGTCCAGCATGGCCAAGGAGTCCATTCTCATCACTCCAGTTCCCTAATCCTGTGTGTCCCAATCATACCAACCTGCTCCTGTAACTGCTTCTAGGGGCTCCAGTGATGTCCCTGCTGAGAACGGGTATTCCAGAAACTTCCCGAAAGGAATTTACTTTATTCTTTTATCTACCCCTTCATTTCACAGATATAGTAGCTCATGTTACAGACAATTGAAAAGAATCGTACACATAAACACATAAGAACCAAAACAGAGAGAATAGACCAAAGATCAGGATCAAGGTGAGAGTCAAAATATCAACTAGCAAGTCATAGTTATATAAAATGGGGCTGCACATTGGACCCTGAGCTTCCCAGCAGCCACAGGGAAAAGGGAAATGTGATCAGACTCATGATTCATGATGCTCATGAAAAGAAGCACATCAGTGTCACGCCAGTGTGGTGCATGAAGGGGTTTAACATTCCTCACCCTCAGCCCAGAATTGCTGTGCTTTATCTCCTCTGAATGAGGGACAGGGCGCTTGATGGTCAGCTCCCCGGAAGCTCTGAGTTAGCCACAGCATTTATTTTGAGTCCTCAAGACTGAGGAACTGGAAGACATTTCACCTTCTCAGCTATGATTTTTCTGATTGTATTAAATTATTTGTCTCTATTCTTTGCTAGAACGTAACCTTCCCACAGACACAGGCCACATCCACCCTGGTGGTCCCAGTCCTCCAAGGACCCAGAACAGGGTCTGACTACATGGAGTAGCAGGCTAGAACTCAGGAATCTGATAGAATTCTCCACCTCACTGAGAAACTGCGAGCGAACCTCTACCTTCACCAACCTTCTGTTTTCTGGTGGCTGATGAGGACTAAAGGTGATGACGAGTGTGAAGTGACCTTCTCAGTGTCTGACACACAGCAGGTGCTCCATACATGGTAACACGAGGACCACAAGACTGATGGTGGAAGGCACTCAGTAAATATAAGCTGAAGGGAGGAGTGGTGGCCCGAGGTCCAGAAAACGGCCCCTCTATCAGGGCTCTGGATCCAATAGCTGGCCCTAGGGGAAGTTTTCCCACTGACGCTTGCTGAGGCTGGGCTGGGGTGGGTCGGGGGGCATCACATGTTCAGAAAGAACCACACCCAAAGCCATCTTGCCCGTCAGCCTCGGCACTCGGGTCTGAGACACATAGGTAGGGAGTCAGCCCGGGGAGACCTGCAGAAGAACATTCCACAAAAACTTGAAACCTGCACCAAAGTTTCCAAGATGGATTGTATTCAATTAGCGACAGACTTCTCCCTATGGGTGATGTCGTCAATATTGAAATAAACCATTTGTTAATTTTGTGGACCTTGCAAACCATTCCATGGGCATGAATTCACAAATTAGAAAAAGGGCTTGGAGTAAAACAATTAAAGGGACACATCACCCAAAAGCAAAGGATGGGCTTTGTTCAGACTCCCAATTTGAGCAAATCAACAATAAAGAGGTATTTCTGAGGCACGTGGGGAAAACTGACTCTGGACCAGTTTTTCTGGGTGATATGAATGACGTGGTCATGGTACTAGTGAGATAACAGTATGGTTAAAAAAAAAAAAAGACAAGGAAGAGAAAATGTCCTCTATGGTAGAGGCACCTACCAAAGCACAGATGGTAAAATGATTTAGCATCTAAAATTTGTTTTAAAATGTTACAGAGATAAAAGGGGGATAATGAGAATGTGTCAAAAAAAGCTTGACAATTATTGAAGCTGGATAATAGATATGTGGGGGTCATCATATTATTCTTCTTACTTATGTATATTTTTGAAATTTTCCCTAGTGAAAGATTTTAAAAAGGTTTGATCAGAGAAGTCTCGGTGTTGGTTCTAAGAAGTGTCTGGGAGCTCTTGGAGCTGGATAGATTGGGTCAGCTTGCAGAGGGGAGGGGCTGCTGAGGCCTTGGCTGGACTCAGAGCTGCCTGGCAGGGCTCACAGCCAAGGCCAAACACTCACCAGCCGGAGGCAGACACACCCTTTCCTCAGAAATCCAAGGACAAAGTGACACAGGAGAGAGAAACGTGCGCTTGGGAAAGCCCAGCTGAGTGTGTGAGTGTCCGGGGGTCGCTTAACAAGTGACCACACCCTGGAAGGCTTCCAACAACTCAGACTTATTCTCTAACGGTTCTGGAGGCCTGAAGTCCAAATACAAAGGTGTTGGCAGGGCAGTGCTCTCTCTGGAGGTGCTCGGGGAGAATCCTTCCCACCTCTTCCAGTTTCTGGTGGTTGCCGGCCAGCCTTGGCTTCTAGATGCATCACCCCAGTGTCTGCCTCTTTTGTCATTTGGTCGTTTCCTCTGTGTGTTGTCTGAGTCTCTTTCCTTCTTCTTATAAGGATGCCAGTCATTGGACTTAGGGTCCCCCCTGCCAATCCAGTACGACCTCCTCTTAACTAGTCACACCTGCAAAGACCTTATTTCCAAATAAGGTCCTATTTTGAGGTTCCAGATGGACATGAATTTTGGGGATGCTATTCAACTTAGTACAGAGAGGGAAAACCTCTCAATTCTGTGAAGTCAAGATTAAGATTTCATTTCAGCCTTGAGCCCATCACAGACTTTGCATCAGGTTGGATAGAATGAGAAGGTGGGAGAGATGCCTAGTGCACTAGGCACTGGGCGCCTTAATTCTCTAGGCTGCCTCACCTGAAGCTGGATTAGCCTCACATACACCTGGCCTCTCCTACCTCAGGGCCTTTGCACTTCCTTTCCTGCCGCATCCTTTATCCAGATCCTCACACACCTCGCATCCTCACTTCATTCACATATCTGCTCAAATACTGCCTCCTCTGAGCACCAATCAAATTCCTCCCTTGACCACCCAGTCCAAAATAGCTGCCCCCTGCTGTCACTTCCTAACTCCTTGTGCTGACTCATTTCCCCCACCACACGCACTGGGTGCTGTATTACATACAGAGCTGTCTGTCTTCCCAAAAGTAGAAACTTGGTTTTGCTACTAATCTATGCACAGTGCCTAGACCAGGGCCAGGAGCATAAAAGGTTTTTATATAGAATGAATGAATGAATGAATGAATGATACCTATTTTTAGTTATGGGAATCCAAGGCTTGGTAGGGTTGGAATTCCTACTCAAGGTTGCACAGCAGAGTGGAAATGAGCGCTGGGCCTGTCCTGCCCCAGGTGCATGTCCTCCTGTCCGGGTCACTTCCATAGTACCACCTGGCCCCCTACCCTTGCCTCTCCCAGCCCTGGCTGGGCAGCTCCCTGCTCCCTCCCTGCAGTCTGAACCTACCTGCGACACTGGGAGCAGTGGGCCTGTTTTTGGTCAAGGGACCCCTCTAACTATGGGCTCAGCGTTAGCTCAAGGGTGCACACTCCTGGCCAGGGCCACTGTGAGAGTTGGCACCGGGTATTGGTCTCCAGCCAGGCCTGGACCAAGTCCCACACTGAACCCCAATTCTAACCCCATAGTCTCGCCTCTCTCCTGAGGTGGACCTGAGCAGTTCTCCAGGCCGACCCTGATACCACCACCTTCCCCATCTTGAGACAGTCCCAAGCTCCTGTCCTATCCCATCCAATATAAGTGAGTCACTATGAGACACAGGAAGGCGACGGGCCCAAAGGGAAGAACACACCACGTGCCACTAGTGCGTCTCTGGCCACTGATAATCAGACTCTTCCTGGCTTGTGAACCCCCTTCCAAGCCCACATGTAAAGGGAGCCGGGCAGCAAAGGGTTGGTTGATACACTGGAGAAATGGTAATGATTAACACAGCCAACATTTATTGGGCACAGCTACCTGTTATTATTCCTGCTTGAAATGAGCATCCTGAGGCTCTGAAAGAAACCGCATGGCCCAAGGATTCATTTAGGTCAGGCCGAATCCAAAACCTGCGCACTTAACTGCTACACTCCAATCAGGGCCAACCTGTAGACACGGGGTGGGAGGGGCCAACCTGTATGGAGCACTTACTATGTGCTCAAGTTTCTTCTTCTTAGGTAAAATTCAGAACAGTGTTTATTAGTCCCATTTTCTTGGGCAGGGAAAATTGAGGCTCAAGGAAGTTCAATCACTTGCTCTAAGTCACTAGGCTAGAAAGTGGGATTTGAACCCTGACAGGCTGACACTCATATACCTTTGCCTCCAATTATAGGACAACATGCCTCAGGTCACGCTAAGGTAGAAGTCCTAATGGTGAGTCTCCTGAGATGGAGAAGTAGGGCTGCCTTGTGAAGTGGTGAGTTCCCCGTCACTGGAGGAGACAAACAGGAGAAGCACAACATCTGGCACATGGCAGGCGCTCGGGGAATGTAAAGAAGAGGTGAGTGCAGATGGGCTTTCTGTACTCATCACGGAGGTGGGGGGTGGGACACGGCCATCAGGAGCTGCCTGCCTTCCAATCCTGCGAGGATTCACACAGATGGACCTTTGAACTGAGACAGTCAAGATAAATAAATGTGTTTCCCACTCTTAGAAACTGAAGAGAGTTCATTTCTGGAAGGGCCCCGCCTGGAGGCTGGAGGAGAGCCCTTGGTGTGAGGTGTTGACAGGGCAGAGGCAGGAAGGAGGATGGCTGAGGAAATGGGGGAGCAGGTCCTAGTGGAAGGGGCAGGGAGGGAAGAACACAGGAGGCCCAGCTGCCAGAGGAGAAGGTGCCCCACAGCCAGTGTGTCCGCGCCCTTCCCTGAACTCCAGCTTCCAGGAACCTCCACTGCCTCCTTCCAACACCGGGGTTCCAGGAAGCTTCTGGGCTAGCCAGAGCCACCTGCACACTCATGGGCTAGCCAGAGCCACTTGCACACCCAGGAGCCTATTTTCCTGCCAACATGCGTCAATGAATGACATCCCTGGTGCATTGAAAACCGCTGGGGACTGAAGGAGATACAGGGTGAGGATACTGCAAGGAGCGCTGTGATTGGTCCCTGAACTGACCAACCAAGAAAGCTTTAAACACTGTCAGTGCAGGGGTAGCTGAAGGGGTGGGGGATGGGGGGCAGAGACTGAGGAAGAAGGTGTCAGAGATGGAAAAAGGGGTGCAGAAGGTGGGGTGGGCAGGGGACCAAGGTAATCTTAATGCTTTCAGGTATTTGGGAAATTCTGCCCATTAACTGGAGCTTTCTGAACTGATACTGGGTGGGTAGGTGATGGGGGTGTTAACTTCTAGACTGAAAATTGCAGTCACTTCTATTTCAAATTTTTCTTTCCTCTCCCAGTGGCTTCCAGGCATTTGACTTGTGCACCTTCCTTTCAGCACCAATGGCAGGGGTTAAGAAGGGCAGGGCTCTGGAACCAGATGCCAGGCTTCACTGCCCAGCATTGCCACTTACTCCTGTGTCACTTTGGGCTCCAGTTGCCAGATAAACTATAGGACACCAAGTTAAATTCGAATTTCAGATAAACAAGAAACTTTTTTTGTTTTGTTTTTTTCAGTATAAGTGGGTCCCATGCAACGTTTGGGATATACTTATACTAAAAAATTGTTTCTTGTTTATCTATCTAAAATTTAACAGGGCATTCTGTGTCTGTTTCCTCAATCTGGAAACCCTACATAGCCTGGGAAATATTTCAGTTTCTTTGTACTTTGCCTTCCTCATCTCAAAATGGGGATTAGGAGAAAGATAAAGTATGTTAATGCTTACTTATTTACTTAGTCATTCGTTAGCATAGTGCCTGGCATGCTAACTATTCACAATCATGGCTGCCTGGGAAGTTAGTGATCTATTCATGGCCATCCCTCCTGCTGGCTAAGAGCAGCCTGAATGAAGGGGGAGCCTTCTTTATCTTTGTAGCAGAGCTGCTCCATGCTAGGGGATTGATCCAAAGACACCCTCAGTCAATATTTAAAGAATAAATGACTGCCACGCCCTCCCTGGTTCCACTAGTTAATGGAGGGAATGACACCTACAGTCCTACCTGATCGAGATATTTCTTCCACATGGGTTCAGTGTTGTCAGCGACAAACTCGTTCCAGCCATGGACCAGCCTGCGCTGCGTCACCGAGAACTCTGACAGCCCATTCTGCAAGTCCACCTGGAGGGAGACAGCCATGCATAAGCTCACCGATGGGCCAGTAAGGACCAAGGAGCCCAAGTCACAGAATTCCTACTTTGGGAGCCAGCTGCTACCATGATGGACAAGGAAATGGGCTGTCCACAGAGGAGAGGGGACTTGTTCAAATAGAGGCAGAAGAAGAAGGAAAACCCACAGTCCAATTATTTTTCAATTAGACTGTACTTCTGCCTCACAATTACAGCAGAAACAATGTTGGGCCTAAATGTCAGCAAGTGCAATTGTTACTTGAGATTCTGGAAATGTAAAAACACTTGCATTTTCTTCTTGGAAAAAAAAACCCCAAAAAACAAAAACAGGCCCTGGGAATGCAAAATGGTGCAGTTGCCATGGAAAACGGTATAGATGTTCCTCAAAAATTAAAAGCAGAATTACCACACAATCCAGCAATGCCACTTCTGGGTGTAGAAATAGCAAAAGAATTGGAAGTGGATCTCAAAGAGATATTTGCAGATGCACTTTCATAGCAGCATTATTCTCAACAGCCAAAAGGTGGAAGCAGCCCAAGGGTCCATCCATGGATGAATCAGCCAGTCACAAAAAGACAAATACCGCATGATTCTACTTAGGTGAGATAACTAGAGTAGTCAAATAGAGGTGAAAAGTAGAAAGGTGTTTGCCAGCGCTGGGAGGAGGCGGAAATGAATGGGAGTTATTGTTTAATGGGTATAGAGTGTTCAGTTTTGCAAGATGAAAAGACTTCTGGGGATGGGTTGCATAACAATGTGAATGTACTCAACACTATTAAACCGCACACTTACAAATGCTTAGGATGGGGAATTTTATGTTGTGCATTTTACCACAGTTAAAAATAAAATTTTAAAAAAACAACCCAAACAATCAGAAAAAAGGCCTGTCCTTCAAACAATAATAGCTAAATTTATTATATCTTGCATACATTGTGCCAAATACAGTTTCAAGCTCTTCACACAAACTAACATTAAACGTAGCTCATTTGAGTCAGTAATTATGTAAGGACACTGTTCTGGTTGCAGCAAAGGGATCCTCGTTTTTAAAAAGTTGACAAGAAAGCTCTACCAGGTGGAAGAGGTGACAGGGAAAGCTGAATTGATTTACAGATTCTTTTCTTTTTTTTTTTTTTAAATTGGGGAATTGGGGGATGGGAACAGCGCTGGGGAATTGGGGAAGGGGAACAGACAAGTTGCTGTCCTTTTATTCTTCAGTCTGGTTGTGGAGATATTGCTTCACTGGCCTAAATTAGCACCATCATTGAGTTCTTCCCAGGTGAGGCAGATCAGTCGCCAGCTTCTGGACGGCTGCTCACAGAGGCTGCTGGCCACACACGGTAGCCCATGGCAACCCACTGAAGCAGGGGCTGCAGCCTACACCGTTGCCGGCGACTCATGGCAGCCCAGCTCCAGGTTGAGCTGTTGTTCAGCATCTTAGCTGTAGAGGGCAGTGTCACTGGCCCTCATATGTGGGATCTGAACCGGGGCCCTCTGGCATCCCAAGCCAGCTCTTAACCAACGTGCCACTCGGCAGGCCCAACAGATTCTTTTCTATAGAGAAAGAGAATCAAGCTCATTTTCTTTCTTTCTTTCTTTCTTTCTTTTTTTATTAGCTGAGTCATCCTGCCACCTGTTGGCAGCTCAGCAGCAGCTCAGCTCAGGCCGGGCATCGAACCGGTGACCCTGTTGCTCAGAGCTGGCACTCTTAAGTGAGCTCTTAGCCAACTGAGCCACTTGGCCGGCCCTTCAAACTCATTTTCTAGGCAGGGTGAAATGTCTAGGCAAGGAAAAAAAATACTTCTTTCCCCTTTCCAAACACTAACAGGCAAGGACTTGAATTTAAACAGGCTTTCTGGAATTTAAACATTCCAGAAAAAACAAAATGGGCATGAAACACTGACATCCAAACTTCTTTGAAGTTGTGACTTCATTGACGTCCATGGAGCCTTTTATTAGTGAATCTTTATTTGCTTTTCCCAGTGTGGTGGGTTATAAGTGAATGCACACACACAAAACACATCAGTGGTTTCAAAGTAAAGACAATTAAAAACAGAAAGCAAGCAACATGCTTCAGCCTCAGAGGAGAGCTTCATAGAGTTGCAGTGTTTTTTTGTTTTCGGTATATATATATATATATATATATATATATATATATATATATATATATATATATATATATATATATATATATGTATATATTTTAGTCTTACACTGGCCAGGATTTCAACTTCACTTGAGAAACTTGTGAAGATTTGCTTTCAGTAACTGGCAACAGCCTGGATTATAAAAGATGAAGGATGTGGCTAGGGGATGGTTAAAAGTTTGAGCTTTGATGTCAAAATACCAGGATTCAGGTCTGGCTGTGCTACTGTGTAACGGTGTGATTTATTGCTTCTCTGTGTTTCTGATCAAGAGAAACATGTAACAGAGTGTTTAGGGGGCACCTGTCCTCTGGTAAAGGGCTCATTAAGGGTCAGCTCTATTGATAACAATGTTGATGACATTCCACGTGGGAAATCGGGAACAGTTCCATATCAATAGTATTCTTAAACAATGATGATAACAATGTATTATAGCACAGAATTCTAAAGCAGCTTTCAGGACTTCGTATTCCTTTCTTCTTCATCTAAAAACCTTCCCACAACTGGCAACAAGTGTAAATTCAGTTCTTACGTAAAATGCTTTGGCCAAGTCCTCTCGGCGGCATTTGCTTGCTTCTTTGGGTGGCAGAGCTACCACCGTCTTGTCTTTTTCACTGGCTTTCAACTCACATTGTTCATCAAACTGTGGGAAAAGCAGGATCGCAGTTAAGCAAGCTGAGGTTTCATACGGATGCGTCTTTTTAAAGTCTAACATACACACAGTAAGTGCACAGGTCTTAAGTGTACAGCTCAAATGTTTGCAAACGGACCCATACAACCAGCCTCCAAATCCAGAAACAGACATGACCGGGCCCCAGAGGCTCCCTCATGCTACCCAGCCACCTGAAGGGTGATGTCACCAGTTTTACTGGAGTATGAATTTTATGTAAATGATCACGTGCAACACATACTCTTTCACATCTGGTTTCTTTCATCCAACACTGTTAGTAAGATTTATGCATGAGGTGACATGTAGCAACAGTTTTCTCATTTTCACGGCTGCATAACAGTCCATAGAATGAGTACAGCAGGCCCTCCAGCCACAGATTCAGTTATCCACGGTTTCGGTTACCCACGGTCAACCATGGTCCAAAAATATTAAATGTAAACATTCAGAAATAAACAATTTGTAAGTTTTCAATTGCTTGCCATTCTGAGCAGCGTGATGAAATCTCACGCCATCCCGCGCCATCCCGCCCAGGACGTGAATCAGCCCTTTGTCCAGTGTATCCGTGCTGTATACCTTCCCCATCCATTAGTCACTTAGCTGCTGTCTCGGTTATCTAACCATCACTGTATCGCAGTGCTTATGTTCAAATAATCCTTATTTTACTTAATAATGGCCTAGTGATGCTGGCAATTCAGAGATGCCAAAGAAAAGCCATAAAGCACTTCCTTTAAGTGAAAAGATATGTATGTATAGGAACAACCGTAGTGTATATATAGGGTTCGGTACTCTCCGAGATTTCAGGAATCCACTGGAGAGGTCTTGGAATGTATCCTCACAGATAACGGGGGGGACTACTGTATATCACAATTTATTCATCCATTCTACTACTGATGGACATTTGGATTGCTTCCAGTTGTTGGCTAATGCTGTTTTTTAAGCAAGCTTATTTGACAGAATTGAAACTTGCAAAGTTGACAGAGCAGGGCAATGATTTACATATTTAGAACCCTGACCCTTGAACTTCTGGGATTCTCCGTCAGGCACGCAGCACATTATAGAGAGCGCCCCCCCCCGATGATGATAGGTGGTGCTTTCACAGCCTGTTCTATGAGTCGTTTGAATAACCCAAGAAAAGGGGGAAACTCAGCCCAGCTCTGGGTGTCTGGCAGGCCTGGGAAGAAGCCATACGAAACACCTGGAGGGCATGGGAGGCTACAGCACAGAGGAGACCTCAGAATCAGGAAAACATGAAGTATCTGTGCAAACTTATTCTGCGTATTCCTATACCAGGACATGATAATCATCTTTCCCTTTTCCACCAGGCTGTTGGGTACTGGGAAGGAGGAAGGGGAGAGGGGCATTGGCTAACGTCTTTCTTCAGATGGAAGAAAGGTGGCAAATTCCTCTCTTCCTTCTTGCCAGCCGCCCCCCCCACACACACACGCACACGCGCACACACACACACACACACACATACACGTGCTCTCCCAAATGCCTCACTTGATTAGAAACGCTCTGCCGTCCACATCCATCCCTGGGGGTGTCCCTCACTGGTGCCAGTGACCAGGAAACACAGCAGTGATTACATACATCATTGTACAGGTTGCTCCCTCATCAGGAGCTTTCCTTACGTCACCGTTACGTTCATCGTACGTGAGTCACTTTTCAGAGAATTGTGCATCACAACATGAGACAGAATGTTTTTTCTGTTCTCAAGATCTGGTTCCACTGGACCTGACAAAGTGCTCAATTCTTGCTCACACTACAGATGGAGGGGGCCCGGGGTTTAGGACCTGCCCCCCACCCACAGCTGTTCTCGGTCTGCCCCTTTCTTTCTGGCCGTGACCACACTCAATTCACTTTTTGTACAGCATCATAAGTGACCCTGAAAATGTAAATCCAGCCTCCCTCACACATACACACACACACACACACACACACACACACACACACACACCATGTTTGAAATACTTGGATAGATTCTAGTTGCTCTGAGGAAAAAACCCAACAGTGTTCAATATGGCTACAGCACAGCCCACCTCATCTCCATCCTCTACGCCCTCCTTTACAAAGTCTTGGTCTTGTTTGGGGCAGTTGCACACCTAGCTAAAAACTTACTTCCTTGGCCCATGAGACACAATGCTGTCCATCGCAGGAGTCCCATATCCCCCAGGAATGGGCCTCCCGAGGGCTCCTGCAGGAGCCCTATTGGCATATTTTCATGGCTGCCACACCATACTTTAAAGTAGTGGTTCTCAGCCAGGAGAAATTTTGCCCCCAGGAGACTTTGGCAATGTCTGGATACATGTTTGGTTATCATATCTGGGGGGTGAGGATGCAACTGTCATCTAGGGGGTAGAGGCAGACAAGCTGCCAAGCGCCCTACAATGCACAGGGCAGTTGTGCTGAGGGTGAGAAGCCCCGCTTTTGAGACAGATGGATTATTCTGTCTTGACATCTATCCTCTTAGCATCCTGAACTTTTTCTTGATGTCACCTACACAATCCCCAGCAACTGACTATCACTTAAATGCCTTTATCTGCTCACAAGGCAGCTGCTCTGGAAGGCAGGACCAGTGCCTGGGACACAGTGGCTGCTCCCCGAGCATCTGTCAATCAGCCCATGTAGTCAGTTCCACTGGACAAAAGGCTGCATACGTGCTTGTAGCCACAAGCCTCAGTTTACCCTCATCATCATTGTTGCAAAGGGGGCAGTCCAGTTCCACTGGCCAGCAGGTTACCTTGAGCAAGTGACAACCTTTCTGACTGTAATTTCCTCATCCGCACAATGGGGACGATGACGTCTACCTGTCATGCTTTTGCAGAATCAAGTAAGTGTGTGCATGCGGATGCCTTGATGCAGCCGAGACCTACTGTGAGCTCCCAGTAAACATCAGCTTGGTACCTGCTGTGGGAACCAGGCCACCGGCACCTAGTTGGAAACACAGTGATGGGAACCTTGCTTGGGTGGCTCAACTATGTTTAGGAAACTCAAGAGCTGGAAGCAATACAGTGCAACAAAAGGAGCACAGAGCTTGGAATCGCACAGGCCAGGGTTCAAATCTTGCTGCCACTGACTAGCTCTGTAAACACGGATGATAACCTGTATGTCCCTGGGTAGTTTTGAAGAATCAAACAACAACAACAACAACAACAACAAACCTCTATAAATGTACCTCACATGTAGCAGATGTGCATCCAGTAAATATTCCACCAAAAGCAGCAACGTCAAGTGTGAAAGGGGCCCAGGGGTGTGGTGGCCCCAGCCCTGGAGGAGACATCTTCTCTCTGTGACCTTGGCTTGCTGGGGACACATATTCCCTGAGTTTCTCTGAGAGGTTAAAGATTCCATAAGGGGGTCTAGAAGACGCATTAATGCTTGAATCTGTGTTGTTGTTGTTTTATAAATGTGTAACTACCAACAGGTAGGTAAAGTGCGAATTCTATTTTTAAAAATCCCTCTTGATTTGCATTTAACACTGATCTCAAATAATTTCTCTACATTAAAAATTTTTTAAAAAGGTCCATCAACAGATGAATTTTTTTTAAAGTGGTCTTTCCATACAATGGAACATATTCAGCCTTAAACAAAGAATGAAATTTGGACACATGCTACAACATGGATGAACCTTGAGGACATTATCTGAGTGAAACAAGCCTGTCACAAAAGGACGAACACTGTATGATTCCACTTAAATGCGGTACCTAGCATAAATAAATTCATAGAGACAGAGGGTAGAGTGGTGACTGCCAGGGATTGGGAGAAAAGGAAGGCGAGTTAGTGTTTAATGTGGACAGAGTTTCATTTGGGGATCATGAAAAAGTTCTGAAGATGGATAGTGGTGATAGTTCTACAACAGCATGAATATACTTAATGCCACTGAACTGTACATTAAAAAATGATTAGGGTGCTGGGGCGGCCAGGTGCCTCAATTGATTAGAGCATGTGCTCTTAACAACAAGGTTGCCGGTTCGAGTCCCGGCTGGTGGGCTGCGCACCCCCACAGCTAGAGTGAAAATGGTGACTGGACTTGGAGCTGAGCTGTGCCCTCCACAACTGGATTGAAACAGCTACTTGACTTGGAGCTGATGGGTCCTGGAAAAACACGCTGTTCCCCAATACAATTTTTAAAAAAATGATTAGGGTGCTAAATATTATGTATATTTTACCACACACACACAAAATCCAGAACAACAACGACATCAGAGAACCCACTCCCCTGCCTTTGTGGGTCAAGACCCGCAGGAGTTCCCACCCTTTCTCAGGAACTTCTGGGCTCTGAAAGGCTCAGGACCATCCAAGCCTGGCAGCCAGCCAAGTGTCTAGAAGGGGCTTGTGTGGTTAAGGGGAGGGGATGGGTCTGGCTGAGGAGACTCCTACCACCCAGCTGTGCCCCATGATGGTGAGGGCAGCATCTGAGCCCAAAGTGGGAGGGCACCTGGCAACTGCGTTCTCTAAGTAAAAGCTATGTACAGACTCCCAGGTATGTGACCAAGAGAACTGAAAACAGGGACTCAAATAAATACATGTTCATGGATGTTCATAGCAGTACCATTCACAACACCTCAAATGTGCATCAACAGATGACAGATGAAGAAAATGTGCCTGTCCATACAATGGAATATTACTCACCCACAAAAAGGAACGAAGTGCTAATACATGCTATGTTATGGGTTGAATTATGTCCCCTCAAAAAAGATATCTTGGGGTGGCTGGTTGGCTCAGTTGGTTAGAGCGCAGTGCTCATAATACCAAGGTTGCCGGTTCGATCCCCACATGTGCCAGTGAGTTGCGCCCTCCACAACTAGATTGGAAACTACTTGACTCAGAGCTGATGGGCCCTGGAAAAACACACTATCCCCCAATAAAATAAAATAAAATAAAGAAAAGACATCTTGAAGTCCTAACCTGCAGTACCTGGGGGGTGAGGGGGAGAATGGGGAGTGACTGCTAATGGATGTGAGCTTTTCTTT